TATAAAGAGAAACACACACGCGAATAAGGTAAAGAGAGTAAAGTTATGGGTTAGCTGTTTTCTCTCATAGCGGGAGCACAAGCGAAACGATTTTATGGGCGGAGTCGGTGCAGCCTCCCGAGAGGATATTTCCCCAGGAATTTGCATACAATCCTGCCGGAGTACGATACTACTCCCGACACAAGTATTCCGCGAGTGGCAAACAGTTCTAGCTAGCTAGAACAGTTCTACCCAACTCTCTGGAAAGTCGCCTTAGCACTTCCTTTCTTTTTTTCTTCTTTTTTTAAAACCCTTTTATAAAATATATCTATTTTTCTTTTTTATATTTTCACATTTGAAAAAAGAAAAAACGTCCTTTGTGTATGATAAAACTTATTTGTCCAACAGTATATTACCCGTACCATTCACTTATTAACTATTATAATATTTATAAGTGTCCTCTTGCATCTTTTAGTCGACTACTTTTTTTTTATTATTCGTCTCCCCTCCCCCTCGGTGTATGTAAAAACGAATTGCTGACGAGAAGGAGGGAGAGAGAGAGAGAGAAAAAAAAAAAGAAGAAAGAAAAAGAACGAAGGTCAAAGGAAGATCCTATGGGTCCCCCTTATGATGAGTTCTTCTTGAAGAAAGTAACGTCAAATTTTTCGAGGAGAATGATACTTGTGTGGAAACGATTATGCTTCTTATTTTTATGTGTTCTCTATCTCTCTCTCTCTCTCTCTTTTTCTTTTTTTCTATTTTTTCTTCCTTTTTTATTTCTTTCTTTCTTTCTTTCTCTCTTTACTTGTATCTATTGAACAGCACCGTATACAAAGAGGCAACCACCACCTTACGCTCGAAAACCCAAGCGAGCACTGCTCGCGCCAACAGGTGAGCCTCGGCTTCAGCCACTGTCGACAATTTTAGTTCCCAGTGACGTATCAACCGGTGTGGCGTCCTTAACAAGGGCAACAGGTGTTTAAACGGATATGTTTCTACTATCTTTTTTCTCCCCTCTTTCTTCTCTCTCTCTCTTCCTCTCTTTCCTCGAACCCCTCTATTTCTTTCTTTTTCTATCTTTCTATTACTTTCTCTCTCTTTTTTTCTTTGTCTACTTTCTTTCGTTATTGGTTTAATTTTCTTCGTTATTTAATAACTCTAACAATCGTTTGTCTCTTAATTTAATTTATCGACCGGTATTGTTTTGTTTTTAATTATTTCTTTTTATGTTCTATTATGTTTTTTTTTTGTTCTTTTTCTTTCAATCTGTCTATGAGAGATCGTGTTTAATTGTTTAAAAAAGAAAATATTGTATATAATATTGTATATTGTTATATTGCTGAGATTAGTACTTTGTGTTAATTAATATTTATTTTCGTGTTTATTAAATTATTTATTATCATTGAGGCAAAATAATAACTATATATTGAAGTCAATAATTTTTTTAAATTAGTACTTTAAATAAATTATTGGTATTTATAAAGAAAAATAATTATATGTGACACTGATTCAACGTTGTTCATATTATAAATATTGACAAATTATTATTTGTATTGAACAAAAGATTTATATATTATATTATTTTACCATTAGTTTTATAAAATATTTACAAAAGAATTTTTAACATATCGATCAAATAAATAGAAATGAATAATAGTATTCTATTTCTTTTCTTTCTATTTATGGTATAAATTTGAATACTAATCTTTACTAAAATTGGTCGTAATAATTATTTGTATCTATATTTTCATTCTTTCCTTTTTCGTTATAATAATTCTACGTTAATGGAGAATACAGCCAATGACAGTTGTTAAATTTCTGCTAGCAATTATAAAATATACTCACGGTTTGAGTCATCAGTCCAATGAGAAACGCAAAACGCACTTCGTTGATTTTAATGCGTGTCTTTTTCATTTGCTTTTTTTTTCCTTCTACGAGTTGTTTTCGAAAGCAAAAAGGGGGAGGAATTTATCGAAATTATTTCAAATGTTAACTCATTCGATGAACGTTGCGTTTGTTTGGACATATTTTGAAAAACGATTGTGATTCTTTACTGTGTCTTCTAAAAAAAAAAAAATATTAACCCACGTCGAAAATAGTTTTCATTGTAATGTGTCCTAGTTTTTGTGTTAATAGATACAACACGTGTCGTCGATCTCATCGTTAGATCATTCGTCTCTTACCATTTTGGGATCGTTCAGGGAATATCATCATCTCTTATTCCTATTAATTTTTATTTTTAATCTGGAAAATATAATTTTCTTGAAATTCTACATTTTATATAGCAATTATAATATCGGCTTTTATAATTTTTAATTTATTATTGAACGATATTAGGATAAAATTATAACGTTCAAAAACAACGTATAAAAAAAGTTAAGTTAAAAAACTTTTATTTATTTTTAATGAATTTTATATTAAGAAACAATTGAAAAGTTTAATTTATTAATATGAGGATTGAGTTAATGAAATATGATTGCAGTTTATTTATTTCAAAATATTTACAAGATATAATGTAATTTGATCACACGCCATCTCGATCTTTAATTTGAATGTTTTCCTTACCGACAGAAAGCACAAAATTATCCGTCAATGATAAAACTGGTAATTACCAGATGGCGCAGCTTATATCATTTATTGATTTTTTGTTCTTTAATAATTTTAACGAAATGCATATTTAATTATAATAATAATAATTAAATTTATTAAAACAAGAATGAAAATATGTGTAGTATAAAATAATTTTGAAAACTTTGATAAACAAAAAGCGAGCAAAATTGAAATCAAAGTTTAATAATATTTAAAAACATTTTGCATTTACAAAGTCTATTATTCTACGTTAAAATATATACAAATTAATTGTCTACATAATAATACTTTTATCATTTAATATTATTATTAATTTAATAATTTTTACAAATTTATATTACCTTATTAATACCACTTTTGAGCTTATCCTGTACACGAGCTGCGGTGTCCGAGTGGTTAAGGAGTTGGACTCGAAATCCAATGGGCTTTGCCCGCACAGGTTCGAATCCTGTCCGCAGCGAACTTTTTTTAAAAAATTTTTTTTACATTTATACAAATCAAAATATACAACGATATATTTATCTTTAATTAAATGAGAGAAACAGAATTTTTTCGTAGTTTTAATGGATAAGTAGTTTTTTATTTATTATTCAATTGCTACACAATAAAGCGGACAAAAATATATATGTATAATTACTTTTTTAGAATATAAATATTTTATTCTTGAATAACGAATCTGTAAAAATTTATATTAAGATCCGTTTATTATTTATATTAAGAATAGGATCCATTGTTTAATAAACAATTAGAATATTCTAATTATTCTTCTACGATGTCTGCATTTTTCATACAAATTAGACAAATTTTTGTTTCCTTATCATTCAAGCAAAACAATAATGATCAAAATTAATTATTAAAATGCATTGTTATGTTATTACATTTAAAATAAGATTTAACTAAACAATTTAAGTTTAATTATATACAGGATTAAATTTATCATATCACTGTCCTGTCAAAAATTAATACCATTTTATGTGATACGCATTAGGAAAAGTTTATTTTTTCAATGTAAATAGAAAATAGGGTAAAATACGAAATTATTTTTTAATTATAAATACAATAAAAGTTTAAAGAAATTGTTGTTTTGTTAAGATTCTGTGAGTATAATAAAACGATTATTCGTCACGAATTATTTCTAACAATCCATAGATGGCCTCACGATCTTTTTTTCATCAAAGTTTGACGAAAGAAAAATACTAGAAACATTTAATGCACTTTTTGTCATGAATATAATTTAATTTTAAACTTGTTAAATTTACATTTTGAATAATGATTCTGAAAATATTATTTATTATGGTGGCGGCTACCAGAGTAGAGTTTACAGAAGAACATTGTACAATTATTATTTTAATTTGTTCAAGAAAACCTTTGAGAAGAACTTGATGCAGTAGCATGATATTTAATTCATTAACGAAGTGTTAAGAGTAAACGAGACGATACACATACTACTTTTATATATAAGTATTTATGTACATATATGTACACACGTGTATGTATATAGTTGTATAGAAATGGTCGGTAGTTTTTACAGAAACTTAAGAGACGTTAAAAGGAACGTTGATTACTCGTTTCTTTTCCATGACCCCGCTGTTTGAAGAGGCATTGAATATTTCTTTCTTATTTTTTTCTTTTTTCAATTTTTTATTTTATTTTTTTTTTTTAGATGCGTACGACATTTATTTACAAAAGAAACGAACAAAAAATTATTATCTCTATTATTTATTAGAATTCCGTGTAATCATAATAAATAATTAATTAACTTACACACACATATAGACGAACATGTTAAATGGAAAAAATAAAATTTATTTTGTTTACGACAAATAAGGGAATTTTTATTAATTTTATTTTTTACTAAAAAAAGAGGAGAAAAGAAAAGAAAAAAAAATTATAAAGGTCTCTCATAAATATGAATTGTACATCAAGAGGAATTTTTATCTCTATTTTTATAAACAGAAAAGTGAGAGGACTCCGATAAACGTGAATTTTCTAATAATAAAGATAATTTTATTTCACATCCAAATGACATTCGAATATTTCTTTTTTCTTTTTCTTTTCTGACAAATAATAAAAATTCTCATAAATATAAGAACACAATTAAAATATTCTTCATTATTTATTTTTATCGTTCAAATAACTGTCGCATTGTTAAGGGAATCACGTAAAATTGAACGAAAAGTTTATAGAGAAAAAGGTAGGATTGAAGAAATAAATCGTAAAAATTAATTTTTATTTTAATTATTAAATCACAATATTACAATGGTCGAAGTTGGATGATGATTAGAAAATGGACTTTTACTTATAAGCCTATTAACCTCATCATTTGTGTAACTTAATTTGGAACATGAAACAACA